CGGGTGCAGTGGAGGAACACTAGACCTGGGCAGTTCTCACGTGCTCACCTTGCGCCCGGTGGCCCCCTCCTTCCTGCTTCCTTGCTGAAGCCTCCACAGCTGGGGCCGCCGTCTGCACTCTCAGCTCAGCTGGCCAGGGGGCCGCAGGGCCGCCCCAGGGCCACCACCGTGATTTACACCGCCACACATTCGTTCCACTTTCTGGGGAAAGTGGGATAGGATGAGACATAAAGAAACATTATTTCCCGAAGGTGGACTCCATTTCTTTAACCATTCATAAGTGTCAAAAAATAACTTACGACCCCTCGGGGGCTGGTATTGTATTTCAGTGACTCTCCCGCTGTGACTGCTGTGTGCATTCTAGAACATCCCCCTCCCCCATGGGCGCACCCTGTGCACGCACAGCTGTGTCCGCGAGCGGCAGGGCGGCGGGACACCGTCACGCCGGGGGAGTGTCAGCGCGCACCGCACGGGGTGAGGAAACCGTCCCGTTCGTGCTGTTCTTGTGATTGATTAAATCTGGCTTTTGTGAGCCCATAAAAAGTGAGGCAGTCGGGGGACTCTGGGCTCGGTGCAAATGTGAACTACCTCTGGCAGGTGCTTTCAGCCCTGAGAAGTCTGCCCATTAACACGCAGGACGGCCATCCTGGGATGCCGCGATGCTCTGTCTGGGCCCCGGGGACAGAGAACGGGGCCTCGGAGCATCCAAACAGGCGTGGGGACCACGGCGAGTCCTCTGCTTCCCCACAGGCAGGAGCTGTCAGGGAAGCACGAGGTAAGATAAAATTGCATGTTTATTCGTTATTAAAAGAGACCAAAGAGTATAGTCACCGACTGTATTTTTTATTATGGTATGGCCGTATCGTTTAGCCTTATTATATCCGCTAATTAAAAGTTTTCTTACGTTTTCCGAAGGGGCAGCCCCAGAGAGCGCCTGGCCTGGATGTGAGACCCCAGGGGAGGCCTGGGATTGTGGAGGGATGGGGGGGTCACGCGGTGTGCCCAGACAAGGGTGAGGCATGGTATTTAAGGGGACTCCAAAGAACAGACAACCCCCCTCAAACCTGGAGCCAAGATAAATAACAGTTAATGCAACATTTAAAAAGAAATTCACGTAGGCAAACTACGGTGCGCTGGCCAGTCGCCTGTGGTTTTTTTTATATTTTTATTTATTATTTTTTTTTCAGTCACCTGTTTGTGTAAATAAAGTTTACTTGCAGCCCCAGGGCTGGGATGAGGGTGAGGCAGGGCCCTGAAAATGCAAGATGGGAGCCTGTCTTTATTCTAAGTAAATAGAAAAAAGTTTTCTTACATTTTCTGCTCTGATGGTGTTGAAAACAGGGGCTGTTCGAAATTTTTGTGATTTACTTTAAAATAACCGCGGGACAGAATCAAGAGCCCAGAAATAAACCCTAAGCACCTATAGACACAACTAGTATTTGATAAGGGAGACAAGAACACTCAGTGGAGAAAAGACAGTCTCTTCTGTAGATGGTGCTAGGAAAATTGGATATTCACATGTAAAAGAATGACCCCATCTTACACAAAAATTAACTAAAAATGGATTAAAGACTTAAATGTAAGACTCGACACCGTGAAACTCAGAAGAAAACATAGGAAAAAAATCTCCTTGACATGGGTCTTGGTAATGATTTCTTGGAAATCACACCTAAATCACAAGCAACAAAATAAAAAAGAAACAAGTGGTACTACACGAAACTAAAAAGCTTCCGCACAGCAAAGGAAACCATCAACAAAGTAAAGAGACAGCCTACCAAATGGGAAAAATATTTGCAAACCATATATTTGATATGGGATCATATCCAAAATATATAGAGAACTCATACAACTCAATAGCAACAAGTGAAATAATCCAATTAAAACATGGGCAGAAGATCGGAAGAGACATTCTTCCAAAGAAGGCATGCAGATGGCCAACAGGTACCTGCAAGGACGCTCAGCATCACTAATCATTAGGGAAATGCAAGTCAAGACCATAACGAGCTGGCACCGCACACCTGTCAGGATGCTCATCGTCAAAAAGACAAGAAATAACAAGGGCTGGCGAGGAAGTAGAGAAAAGGGAAGTCTTGCACAACGTTGGTGCAGTGGCTGTGGAAAACAGTGTGGAAGTTCCTCGAAAAGTAAAAAATAGAGCTGCCTTAGGAGCCAGCAGCCCCACTTTGGGGTATTTATCCAAAGGAAAGGAAAGCACTAAGTCGAAAATATATACGCACCCTGATGTTCACTGCAGCACTGTTTACAATAGCCGAGACATACCAACAGCCTAAGTGTCCCTCAGTGGATGAGTGGATAAAGAGGGTGTGTGAGAGCACGTACACAACGGGACGCTGTTCCGCCACGAGGCAAAAGGAAATATTGCTGTTTGTCACAACATGGATGGGCCTTGAGGGAATTGTGTGAAACTAAGTGAAATAAGTCAGAGAGAAAGACAAATACTGTGTGACATCACTATATGTAGAATCTAAAAAAAAAAATTAAAAACCCCGCCGAACTGCTAGTGAGATGAGATTTGCAGTCACCAGAGGCAGGGGAGAGGAGAGGGGTAACATTGGAGGAAGGTGGTCGGAATGAACAGACGTCCGGTTGCAGGAAGAATAGGACGAAGGCTGTGATGCCCAGCGCCGTGACCATAGTTTACGCTCTGCCCTACGGTGTACAGGAAAGCTGCTAAGAGAGGACATCCTAAGAGCTCTCATCACAAGGAGAAATGTATTTTCTCTTTTTCTTCCTTTTTTGTGTCTGTATGAGATGCTGACTGTTCAGTAAACTTATCGTGATGATCATTTCACAATCTACGTAAGTCAGGTCATCACGTTGTACACCTCAAACTTACACAGCAATGCACGTCAGCGATTTCCCAGTAAAACTGGAAAAAGTAAGATAAAAAGGAAATCTGTCCTGTCCCCACATCTAGTCCCTTCCTGTCTCCGCAAAGCGTCAGACCCGGTCCCCTCCTCCATCAGCCCCGCCAGCCCTCCGCGCGCCGTGAGCAACCCCAGGAGGCCCAGGCCCCTGTGAGGATGCGCACCGGCAGGCTTGCGCCCTGAATCTCTGAAAGCTCCACATCTTATCTAACTTTCACAGAACACGAAATATCACGTGGTTGTGAACTTGGGTCTGAGCCACAGCCCTGGCGTTAGGGATTCCACGCCGTGACAGAGGGAGAGAATTCCACCGTGAACGCGCGGATTCTGAGCAGATGCGGGAACAGCTGACCCGGGAGCCCGGGCTCCAAGCAGGTGGCGGATGCTCTGGACGCAGGAAGCCTGGTCGGAGGCACAGTGAGAGCAGCGGGTCAGGCCCTGCAGCGCCGGGCGGCTGAGTCCACGCCTGCAAGCCGCTCCCCAGTGGAGCCCGGCCAGGGCGGATGGCTGCCAGACAGCCGGGCGGATGAGTCAGCCCCGGAAATAATCCGGCTGGGACCCAGAGGGACAGCAGAGAACAGAAGGGTCAGGAGCAACAGGTGGGCCGGCCCTCAGGAAGGGTTCAGGGACTCACAGCAGGTGGCGGGGGAATGAGGGCGGGGGGATGGGCACGTGGTGGGACCCCAGGAGGGGGGATGAGCAGGCGGCGGCGGGTGGCAGGTGGGCGGGCCCAGCGGGTGTGGGACCTGCAGGCTTTCCTCGTGATTCTGGCTGCAGGTGCCGTCCCGGCACGTGAAGTCCAGTGGGGCCAAAGTGCACCTCCTTCTTCCAGGTTATTGATCTGCTTTTAAAGGAAGGGGCTTGGGACACTGGACCGATATTCACTTTAAATTAACAGTTTAGGGCTTCTCTGTGTGATTTTCAAAGTGTCAAAGGGAAGCGCAGAGGATCAAGTTGTTCCAAAGAATGATGGGGCACCAGAAGAGCATAGGAAGGGCGGCCTGGACGGCGGCGGGGGTGGGCACTGCGCGCGGGTGCGCTGGCCGCTGGGCGGGTCGGGACCGTCCCGCGTGGGCTGGAGCTCAGGCGAGCACTCCGGTCTGCCTTCCACCCGAGCGGCTGCACGTGGCTGAGGCCCCCAGGCTCACTCTGGGGAGGGGCTGGCCCCGCCTGGCCCCATCGGGCAGGCCCTGCCTCGCCCTGGGGGACGCGGGGCTGGGCAGGAGTTCGGGGCACACGGCCCTCAGCGGTGCTGTCTGCTCCGCCCCTGGAGCCCTTCCACGACCTGCTCAGCCCTGACTATGGGGCAAGAGTTAGTCTGCACCCGAGTCCCAGCATTTGTTCAGGCTTGCGACCTGCATGAGCTCCCCTGTCCTGGGCTGACTCCGTCTCTGCACTACAGTCGGGGCAGAGGAAGGGCTGGTGTTACTGGAAAGAAACCCTTTCCAGATGCCCAGCCCCGGCCCAGAGATGGTGCTGGTGTTCTTTCCTCCGCCTCGAGTTCCATCCACTTCAGCACGTGGCCCCTGGGGGCGGTCCAGGCCCCTCTGCATCCCTGTTGTAGCGTCGTCAGCACTGCCCGGGGGGCAGGGGTAGACAGGGTGAGGACGGTGGGAGAGCTGGTCCTGGGGTCGGAAGAAGGGGAGCGGCAGGAAGGGATGTGGGCGTGCACACATCTGCCAGAGGTGTGTGTCCTGTCTTCCAGACGCCTTGAGTCTGTGTTATCCCCATGGTGCCAGGCGAGGGCTCCAGCTTCAGGCCTCGCTGACCAAAGGGTTTGAAGGATGCTGCAGCCCAAAGGAGGCCACTTTTCCAAGGAAGAACGAGGGGACTTGGGTGGCCAGCAGCGTCGGGAGTCAGGGGTGTCAGAAATGCCACCTGGGGGGCTTCCCTGGTGGCGCAGTGGTTGAGAATCTGCCTGCTAATGCAGGGGACACGGGTTCGAGCCCTGGTCTGGGAGGATCTCACATGCCGCGGAGCAACTAGGCCCGTGACCCACAACTACTAAGCCTGCGCGTCTGGAGCCTGTGCTCCGCAACAAGAGGGGCCGCGATAGTGAGAGGCCCGCGCACCGCGATGAAGAGTGGCCCCCGCTTGCCACAACTAGAGAAAGCCTGCGCGCAGCAATGAAGCCCCAACGCAGCCAAAAATAAATAAATAAATTTATTTTTTTAAAAAAGAAATGGCAGCCGGACCAGGACTCCAGGGAAGCTCTGGACAGAGGCCGGGCCTGGGTGGCCCAGAGGGAGGAGTGGCCCACAGGGCTTGGCCGGGGCGCGGGCAGGGCCAGAGCCATCTCCTGGGGCAGCGCTGGGCCAGCTCTGTCTCGGGCCCGCCTGCAGATCCAAGTTTGCATTTTGACGGAACACAGGCCATCTCCTCCACCACGCAGTCTTCAAGGTCCCGTCCTCTTCACGGGTGTCCTTTCCACGCGCTCTGTCCCTGTGTCTGGCTTGTATTTACTCCTTGGACCCATCCTGGTGATGAGTGAGCTCAGCGAGGTGGTGGAGCTTCCATCCTCTTTCTTTGCTTTTCCTGCGTGAGGCGGAGTTGGCGTTCAGCTTGGACCCGCGCGGCTCTGCGTGACTTTCTCCAGGTGATCGTAGCTAGGCTTGTGGGATATCGGAGAAGGTTGGAGAAAGACAGAAAATCCGTGTGGAGTCCCGAGGTGCGTTCTGGGCTGCGATGCTGGCGGCGGTGCCACTTCTGTCCCTGAAGCCGCGGAAGGTGTTACAGAGCCTCTTCCTTCCCCCTTGTTCCTGCCTGCTCACGGCCGCGTCAGTAGTTTCTGAAGCATCTTTCCACTTATGACCCCTCGTCCCGAAGCCTGTGGAAGGGGTTTGACGGAATTAATCTTCCTTTGTGTTTTGAAGGTTTCCGCCCTTTCCTGTCTTGTTTCCTGTTCTGGGTCCACGTCTCTCTCCCCCCTTCTTGCCTTCGGCGTCTTCTAGGCGGTTTTCGGCAATTCGTCTTTGCTTCCCAGTCTTAGCGAGCGTGACAGCGCACGGGGGGATGTTCAGGGAGACTTCGGGGTGGAGGGGAAGAGGCTGGAGGAAGGAGGGATGAGGCGTGGCCACCGCGGGTGGCAGAGGAGGGACGGCCTTCCGGGTTTGCCACGTCTGGTCGCAGAGTCACGTCGGGGTCCTGTGGGCCGTGGGCTCAGCCCCGGGTGAGGTGGGGGACTGGCACCTGCCAACGTTCCCTTTGTTCCTGCTGCCGACTCCATCTCCAACCGTAAGAAACACAAATTTTTAATTAGAAAGAACTGCATTAAGTAATGATCCTTGTGGGGGAAAATATCCGACTTTTGATTTTCATACATTTTCCAGAAGCTTAATTATAAGGAGTGTTAGCTCTTCGGGAAAAAACTTAGTAAAAATTTGAAAATATACCGAGTTTGCTCCCAAAGGCCCGGATGGAAGGGGCACGGACCTCAGCTCACCCTGACGGCCCCTCCCGCCCCCGGGGGCCTGTCCGAGATTTCCGCCTTCTCGGTGCTCCGGGGGCAACCCGGAGAGAGGAGCCTTCTAGACCAGCTTATAAAATGTGGATCCGCGTTACTGATCGATGAGTTTAAGGATTTTCTGACCGCCCGCGTCGAGCGTTGAGACCGCGTTTTCACGCCGGTGGTGGGTGGTGACTCACGCAGGCACAGGGGGGCGGCTCCAGGACGACAGCTGGCTGAGCTGTATTCCGCAGGGACACCGCGCGGGTCCATCTGGAGCGCGGCTCAAGCCGAAGTGGAGGGAGCCAGGTGTGGCTGTGCCTGGGAGCCAAGCCCCACGTTCACACGTGTCCGTGAGCTCCGGACTGGAGCGGGCAAGCTTCCTTCCCACCACACCTGGCTGCGGGGCACAGGAAAAGCTACACCTTGTCGCACAGCTGGGAGGTGGCGGCCCGTGCAGTTGCAGGACGTGGACCCGGCAGCGGGCACCTGGTCATCCCTGACCGCAGGGGGTCTCTGTTAGACTCTCGGCAATTATGACACAGTGACTTCCCAGGCCAAACTTGATGCCAGAAATGTTCAAAATAAAGGGTCTGGAAGAGCCAGAATTTGATTTAAAAAGACCCGTGAGATCCGGTGGAGAGCACTGAGCAGGGACCTAAATGCCCCTAGACTTCTCCTCCGGCTGCCCACGGTGAGCTTTCATAATAAATGAGTGTATGTAGCAGTGCCGTTCCATGATTTTACCTTAAAGTCTTAAATATATTTTGTGTAAGGGATGCACATGAAAGACACCTTGACAGAGGAAGGTGACCTAGTGGAGGATCCATGAGGAAAGGAGGGGAGACGCTGTGCAGACGTGTCATCTCGCGCGGGCGTGTGTACCTGCAGGACTACTGGGCTTCTGTCGCCTGAGATGGGGGAACCGACAGGCTGTGTCCTGTCACCCCTCCCCTCGTGGCACCGGATGCACGTGACTGTCCCCGCAGGACAGAGAAAAGCCCCCCGACCCAGGGCACCTGCCTGCAGAGTGACAAGGCCACGCTGAAGGGCCCCCGGCAGGATAATCCCCCGCAGGGCGACATCCCCTCTTCCTCCCCTGAGCCCGCTGCTGCCGGAGGAGATACTGGGTTACGCAGGGGCTCGGTACGATGTCCTGACACCTTGCTCTGAAGGCTTACTGGCCCCTGGCCGCTCCAGGTGGCTGGGAGGACGTGGGTCAGGCAGGGACAGGCATTTACCGCAAGACAGCGAGGGTGATGTGGACGGAAACATGGGCGGAAAGGGGCTGCGCGACAGGGAGGACATTGATTTTGCCTGCTCCAGAGGCTGCAGCGTGGCCCCGGTGGGCGGGGACAGTGGCCCCAGCAAAGCCCATTCTGGGAAAATGTCCCGTCCTCTCCAGAGTCACCGGCGTGCCGGCGGGTCTCAGAGCAGTGCCCCGGCCAGCGCCCAGCCTTGCGGCTAGACCAGCAACGTGGCTGCGACCTCCTGTGCGTTTGTACTGGGTCCCACTGACTTGCCATCCAAAATCGGGTTTGAAAATGTATTTTTACATAATATCATCCAATCACGGTCTTCTTAAAGGTATGCGGCATCAAAGAATGCCATTGACTGCGATTTATAGCATGACATTGAAAAATGCAAATGTATTTGTACCTCTATTACTGGCTTGCTCTTTTCCTTTACACATAACGAGGGGTTCCGGGGGTAAGTGAGGGGGAGCCTGAACAAGAGGCGGACCTCAAGGGAAGCAGAGTTTTCTTGATAACCAGAAATATTAGAACTTGGATCTGGGATTAATTATCTGAATCTTTTGAAAAATTATCGTTTTGATTCCTCATCTGAAAATCCTGAAATTCTACGGTCCCTTGAGGGTGTGAATCAAATAAGCAAAATGAAGTGGGTAAAACTCTTTGGATTTCTTGGGGAGAGAGGGCTGAGAAGGGCCTGCTTCCTGAAGACTCAGCCCCTCGGGGAGCAGCAGCCCTGATTCTCAGCTGCCCTGCACCTGCCCCCAGCTGTTCGTGCTGGAAATGGTATGAACTAGCGACACTCAGATTTGTAACCTGGGGACTCGGGGGTGGGGGGTTAATTCTGTCCCTTGAGGGCTGCAGACACGCCTTTTTCTCATCTCCTAGCTTCCTTTACACTTAAGAGAAGATCACCATGTGCTTCTTTAAAGGAACCCTGGTCCAGGCGACGTAGCAGCTTCCCATTATGTGGCATCCTTCTCTGAGGCCCTGTATCCCGTCATCATTGTATCTCTAACCTGATGACTTGATGCCAAACTTCCTAAAATGTGGCTTTACTCCCAGAATTTCAATGCGGTTGAGGCACTTAATATCTCTTAACTCTGTTTCTACCATCTTCTGGTTCATCTGTTTTTGCCAGTATTTAGGAATAACAAAGGGTAATTCGAATGAGTCATGCTTGGTGTATACACATGCGGGGGAGGAGAACTGGAAAATAAATAGAACATGGACAAGAGGTGACAGGAACAGAAACATCATTCTTTACCTCATGTGACGGTTTTGGACACCAGTGGCATCAGTCTGAGACCTTGGACCAAGGTCTCGGATTCAAGGTTCTGTCTGCAGTTTCTAGACATTTGGATAGGTTTTATGATGTTATACTCTTCAAGGAATGAGGTCAAATTTCTTTCTATGCCACAGAGTCTATATGGGAGTAGTTTATTCCCAAATACTTGCAGAGTGCCCAAGACAGCCCTTTCTTTTACATCTTAGAGTTGGCATTTGTATCTTAGAGATGGGTACGTTGAGGAAGGACAGAGAGGAAAGTCCAGCTGATTGGCCTTCGTGTGAGAGCGTAGAGCCTGTGTTGGGAGGAGACACATGTACGTGAAGCTATAAATATTCATGGTTTCTTAAGTTTATGCCGTTTTTTTGTTTGTTTGGATTTTCCACGTAGTTGATCATGTCAACTGTGAACAAGGTGTTCTTATTTCTTCCTTCCTAATCTGGATTTATTTCCCCAGCCCCTTGGGGTCAGGCTGGCTGGAGCTGGCTGGATTTGGGTCTTTCCCTTCCCCCGGGGCAGTTGGTCTCTGATAAACCCCAGCTGGTTAGACTCTGGTTAACTAGTTTTCCTTGAGGCCAGGCCTTGTTGAGAAGAACAGGGTGCTCTGGTGTTTTTCAGAGAGCTTTCGCCTCCCCCTTCCAGAAGCCCGGGGGACTTTTCTCTGCTTTTTACCGTGGGAACCCGGCCAGGATTCCACCACATCATGAGGCCTGGGGCTGGGGCCCCCTGGAGCGTTAACTCTCAGACTTGCCCACGTGGGGCCCCGGCTGTACTTTCCTTGCGATCCAGGTCCTACTCTGGATCCACGGCAGTGTCTGCTCCGGTGCTCTGCTCCGGGAAAGAATGACCACCACGCTGGCCTGGACTCGCGCCGATGCCGTGTCCCCGCGAGGGATCCACGAGTACTTGTCATCCTTCAGTCTGTTCGGGTTGTCACTTGTCCTGAGGATGGAGGCATGGCTTCCAAGGTCCTCACGTGGGAACCTGAAGCTGGAGGCCCGGGAGGGGTTTTTCCGTGGATTCCTGCAGCTGGTTAGTTTTCTGGACCTCACCCAGGTGACGCTCCCCTTCCCCAGAATTTCTAGGTGTGTGTCAAGTGCAGGACTGGTTCTTTCCCCACGGAAGCATGATAACAAGTTCAGTTAACACAGTGCTGAGCACACGTTCCTTCCTTCCTTCCTCCCTCCGTGGAATGTGCCTCCTAAGTGCAGGCGCCGTTCTGGGCTCTGGAGTCATTGTGAGCAGGACAAACACAACTTTGCCCTCCAGAGGGGTCGCCCTGGTGGGTGGTGGGCAGCGATCACGGCGAATGAGGAAACACAGAGCGTGTTAGGTAGTGACACCTGCTACGAAGCAGAATGAAACACGGGGAGAAGAGCAGGTTGGAGACCAGGGCTGTTCGGACCAGCCAGCCAGTGACACTCTGTCCACAGGATGGCTCAAGCCACTCCTGAGAGCACGGAGGGGAGTGGGTGTGGGTGGGGGGAGATCGGTCATGAGGCCCATGGCCGGTGCCAAGACAGCCCGTGTAGGCTTGGAGCAGAGCGGAAGCAGTGAAGGTTGTAGGAAGAGGACAGACTCTGGACGAACGCTGGTGGTGAGGATGGTTGTCGGGGATGCAGCTGCCGGCAGGGGCAAAGCCGTGCAGGTAGGGATGGGCAGGGACGGACTGCCTGTTACACGCCTGCTCAGGTGGAGGCTGCATGGCGATTGGAACTTTGGAGAATTCTGCCCTTAAACAGCCGTCCAGTCACGCAGACCCGTGGACAGCAGGCCTCTCCTTGGATCCACGTGCAGGATCATTTCAGACGACGTGACCAGCCGGGGTCAGGATGCCCCTCCGGAAACCGGCTTCAGCGTGAGTTCTCCAGGACATCGCTATCGTCTTCTTGTTCTGCACGCCCTGCTGTCCTCAGCGTCTGCCCAGGACCAGCAGATCTGGCTGGCTCTGAGTCCTGCTGCCAACGAGGCTGCAGCCTTTTCCCTCCTTTTAGAGGGACTGGTGTGGGGGGGGGCATTTGTCCCCAGGGCATTGTGTCAGCTTGAGTGACGAGCCCGGGGGATGGTGACCTCAGAGGAGGACCCTGTGCTTGCCGGCTTGGACCGGGGTGATTCCGCCGCGGGCATGTCTGGGGTTGTCGCAGCTGGTGAGGGCTGGCGCTAGAGCACAGAGGCTGAGGACGCTGCTGACCCCCCTGAGACACAGGACAGCCCCCTTGAAGCATTACCTGCCCCAAAGGCCAGAAGGGACGAACCTGAGAAAATCAGGGCTGACCTGAGACGAGGTCCCTGCTGACCCCCTCGGAGGACAGACGGACACCTGAGACTAGATCCTATCTGGGAGGAGGGCGGAAGGGGGGCACCCACGTCTCCTACAGGCCTTCCTGCTGCTCCTGGCCACGCAGTCATCACTTCTCTCCAGACCACTGGGCAGCCTCCACTGGGCCCCCCTTATGCCCACCCCATAGGTGCCCGACGTCCACTTAGGAGGCAGGGGAGACTCCCTCAGGTGCAGCTGAGAAACATTGAATAGCCTTCCTTTGAAGCTTCGAGCTTGGTTTAATGTCTGCTGTGGAAAAGTGCAAGACAGAGACTCGGACCTTCAGCACCTAGGGCGCCTGTAGATGCTCCCAGGGGGATTCTCTCCAATCCAGGGGACGCAGTCAAATTCCCGAGGGCTGATTTTGACCCATCCCTCGCTGGGTGTGACTCCCCCAAAGCCAGGAAACAGCTGCTGCCTGTGGTGCCTGGTGCCTGGGGAGCTCTGGAGAGCAGTGGGGAGCAGTGGGGAGCTCTGGGGAGCAGTGGGGAGCTCTGGGGAGGAGTGGGGAGCTCTGAGGAGCAGTGGGGAGCTCTGGAGAGCAGTGGGGAGCAGTGGGGAGCTCTAGGGAGCAGTGGGGAGCTCTGGGGAGGAGTGGGGAGCTCCGGGGAGCAGTGGGGAAATCTGGGGAGCTCTGAGGAGCAGTGGGGAGCAGTGGGGAGCTCTGGGGAGCAGTGGGGAGCTCTGGGGGGCTCTGGGGAACAGTGGGGAGCTCTGGGGGACTCTGGGGAGCAGTGGGGAACTCTGGGGAGCAGTGGGGAGCTCTGGGGGCTCTGGGGAGCAGTGGGGAGCAGTGGGGAGCTCTGGGGGGCTCTGGGGAGCAGTGGGGAGCCCTGGGGGTTCTGGGTAGCTCTGGGGGACTCTGGGGAGCTCTGGGGAGCAGTGGGGAGCAGTGGGGAACTCTGGGGAGCAGTGGGGAGCTCTGGGGAGCAGTGGGGAACTCTGGGGGCTCTGGGGAGCAGTGGGGAGCTCTGGGGAGCAGTGGGGTGACCAACTTCACCTCCTCTTCAGCACTTAAAGGTTAAAACCTGTAAATGGCAAGACTTCTCTTTCTTTCTCCTTCTGCTTATTTTTGAAGTGATGCCATGATGGGCATGCGGGGCCTGGGAGAGGCTGCTGGCTGGAGGCCGAGGGCGCCTCTGATTCAAACCTGAGGGCCTCCAGCACCTCACGCCCTTCTGCAAACATCAGCGCATGTCCAGGACCATGTGCCCTTGTTGGCTGGCTCTCTGTGTTTGTACTTTCTCACTCTCAGCTGTGTTTTCTGTTCTGCTGCAGGCACGGGGCTCTTACTAGCCGAAATGGAAGGAAACTATTTAGTAAGCGTTTCTACCCCGGTTCTTCCAGAAGCAATTTGCGTCTCTGTGCTATTAGCTTGAATTCAGCTGAAGTCATTTGCCATCGGGGTTATTTTCCTGTTAACTCAAGAGAAACCCAACACTCCGGGCCCCTCTGGGCTCTACACACCCCACTCCCTTGTTCCATGTTTAAAAATGTCAGATAAATCGTCCTGAGATCAACAGAAATCAGCTGATGAAAACAACTCGATTTTGGTGAATCAATCTGTATGAATGACACAGAGAAAAATGCTAGACTTGAACATTTCTTTTCAGGATTTCATGATTCTTCCCTTTTTCATTTCCTAGGAATTCTCATCATGCTCTCGCTGCCGTAACATCATGATACTCGTTCTCATAGAGATGAGGTTTTATATCCAGGTCAGCCAAGACTCCCAAGCCAGTTGTAAATGCAGATGTTGCCCAAATTGTAATAGATACAAAAATAATTAGAAGGCGAAGCATA